GTGTGTGTGTGTGTGTAGAGAGAGGGAGAGGGGGGTTAGAGAAGGGTAATGGGTATTCTTGCTTAATTCTCAACTGTCTTGACTTGTAGGGAAAATAAAAACGGCATGTACTTAAAAATGTTACCTTTAGGTTAAGTACTGGTCAAGATTACTTTGAATGCTGGACTTCCAATATATATCGTCCGGATACAATTTGCAAGTAGCATACAAGAATGTCTTGTTGGGAATTCGAACCATGGTTGCTAGCTTCGACATCGGATATCTACGAAAGTTTAAACGAATTTTTTTCCTAAATCAGTCTTATCCAAAAGAGGATAATTAGCAATCTTCATGTTTTATGCCGTGATAACGATATACTTCTTTACTTCTTTGTCTGAAATCATTTTTGAGAAAAAAAAGGTGCAGGTTGAGTTAAGCATGAAACGGGGTGGGGGTGTGGATGGGGAAGGGGAGAATAGTTTGTGACCTGTTCGAGTAACATGCATGTAGGCGACACCAAACACGGATTCTAGCAGTGCGAGGAAAATAACTTCGGTTTAACCAGACTCTAATAACTCTGAAATCTGATACATAATAGATAATTATACAGCTTATCGATGCAAGATGTGCTCGAGCATCAATAATTAATCATATCTTTGAGTTAATTAGACGGCCATGCTTGACACAACTAATGGTATATTGTATACTTTAATTAAACTTAAAACTCACATAAACACCCGCAGAATAAAAAAGCAAAAGTGTCGCAACAACAAAAACGGAGCTTTGACCAGGAGACTTGGCTCCCGTCTTTGATACGACCAAAAGTCCCACAGTCAATCTTTGATATGGACTTTTACACCTCAGTTGAATACAAAGAAAAGTTACTGCAGAAATGTGAATGGAACATAGACGTAAAGTGCGCTTTTTGTTTAACAGCATAGTACACTTAATAAGACTTCTAGGCTCTCGTTGGCTGCAGGTAGAAGTACATGTACATTGGTTAGCCTACAGAAATGATGTTACTTTACAACTTCACTATTGTAAGAAACTTAAAAATACTCAGTCGTATTTCTTCTGTGTCTCAACTTTGTCTGTTTTCAGTTAATAAAATCTTTGTATTTTTAACTTATGCTGATAACACAAACATGCATTGAAGAAAATGGACTTTGTCAGCCACTGAATTTCAAACCCGCAAACATAATTTTAAAATAAAATAAAACCTCTAACTTAAGCCCATTTCACAAGGCTAAACTGCGGAATACGCCTTTTGTGAAAAACAAAAACGAAACTCAGAATGCCTCATTTTTTAGGAACATTTCACTGGTAGGCTTTGTCCGCTCTTTTGGTTTAGAAGTTTGGTCCTCAATTTCGTTGGAAAGGGTGATTTATCTATAGGAAAGATTGTTAAATAATTGTAGTTTTCTTTGTGTGTGTGTATGTGTGTGTGTGTGTGTGTGTGTGTGTGTGTGTGTGTGTGTGTGTGTGTGTGTGTGTGTGTGTTTGTGTGTGTGCAGATTGGCTCTCTGGGTTGCATATGGATAAGTGCTTTGTAGATCTTACCACGTCCTGTTCCTGGGTACATGGCAAAACTGGCAATCAGCCGAGACACAATATGCACATTATGATTGTAATATGTGCCTAACAGACTGCAAAATTATATCCTTCCTCCCCCAACTGAACCAGTAAATTGATATGGCTGATTGGCCAAGAGATTTACTGGGAAATCGACTATGAGCTTTAACTTTTAAAAAAATAAAAATAGTATGACTTTTGTTAGGGTCCATGTCTGGCACTGATATGTGAGCGTTGGAAGGAAAATGGCGTTGATGAGCTTCGTCTTGGTGCTCATGGGGATT